ATTTTTCCCCTTTTTTTTTTTTTTTTTTGCATGTTGTCTTATTCTTCTCTAAAATAATTCTTAAATTACGACTGTGCCCTCGTAAGGTCCATCGGAGGGGCAGTTTCAAGAAACTGGTTTCAGTTTGTGGAGGAGAGTTTTGTCCTTTTGTTTTGGTCGGATCTTGTTAAAGTTTTGAGTTAATTAATTGAAACGTATTATATAATTTTTAATTATATTGATAAAAGGAAATTGGATAAAGCGAGTGGTCTCACGTAGAGGCAAAGCGCGTGGGGAAAGAAAAGGAAGTATATTTTATGTGACGGTGAACGGATTTGGCTGCTGGTAGGTAGAGCAGGTCATGGAAAAGTGGGTTCAAAATGGAAGCTCCCGGAGTATGGAAACCAGTCTTTTTAAAAGTCATTTTTTAAAAAATTTAAAAATAATTATATATTAATCTAAAACTGCGTGCCCCAGTTTTCCCTGAAAGCCCCACCGGCTCGCAGATTAATATTTAGTTTCCCTCTTAAATATCCTCCGGGACTTTTCTTCAATCCTCAAAACTATTTCCCCCTTATCTTCATCTTCTTCAATTCTCCCTCTGTTCCTTCTTCGGATTTTATGCTTTTCTTCTGTAATTGCGGTTGCTAAAAATGCGGATGAGTTGTAATGGTTGCAGAGTTCTTCGCAAAGGTTGTAGTGAAAATTGCAGTATTCGACCTTGTTTGCAGTGGATCAAGAGTCCTGAATCTCAGGCTAACGCTACTGTTTTTCTTGCTAAGTTTTATGGCCGTGCTGGACTCATGAATCTTATCAACGCTGGTCCTGAGCATCTACGGCCTGGTGAGTTCTGATTCTTGAATTTTGTTGGTTGATTTGTGTCTGATTTTGTGCATTTTGATTGAATTTTGCGTTCGGTTCGATTTTGTAGCGATCTTTAGATCTCTTCTCTATGAGGCTTGTGGACGGATTGTGAATCCGATTTACGGATCGGTTGGATTGTTGTGGTCTAGTAATTGGCATCTCTGTCAGGCGGCTGTCGAGGCGGTGCTTAAAGGTTCTCCGATTATTCCGATTAATTCTGAGGCGGCCGCGACTGGCGATGGACCGCCGTTGAAGGCTTACGACATTCGTCATATTTCGAAGGATGAAAACTCCGCCGCCTCCAACGATGGTGGAGCGAATCGGCGAGTCAGGACTCGGTGCCGTTTTAAGCGATCGGCCGTGAAGGATAAAGAGAGTACTGGAATCGTATCTGCTGTAGCGGAGTCGACTCGGCGACTGTTCTCCTCGACAGAGATTAACCGTTCGTCGAGCGGCGAGTCGTCGCTGAGTCACCAATCTGACTCGCCGCATCTCGAACATGAGAGCAAAGAAACCGAGAGCATGATCTCGGTGGAGACGGCGGATGTTTCTCCTCCTTCGCCGCCGTCAGCTTTCTTCAGATCGGAATCCAGTCACGTACAACGGAAATTCACCAACCACGACGGCGGCAGGATGACAATTCCGGAAAGCGAATTAGCTCTAGAACTTACCCTGGGGATGGAGCCGGTATCACGTGCCCAGCACGTGGTTCCAATGAAGAAGCGAAAAATAGAGGGCAACGATGGGCTGAGGCCCAATAAGGAAACGTGCAATACGGTTTTGGGCCTGGATTTTGCAGCCGGAAACTAGGCCTAATAAGGAGCCCACATATTGAAAAAAAACATAAAAACAAAGAAAAAAAGCGAATAAAAGAGAGGACAATTTTGACGGCGGGAATTGACTATCTGCGGTGGCAAAGAAGAGATCTCGACCATTTGTTTGTTTGTTTTTTATTTTTGGTTTTGTTGATTTACTGTTTTGACCCTATCTCTTCCCCCTTTTGTAAGGAGACGCGATGTGTATAAGAAAAAGAATATATATACGTGGTCGCAATGTGTATATATTTAAACTTAAGTGCTGTAAAAATGCAACAGGAGGTGACAAGGTTCTTAGTTCTTGATTGTTCATCTTTAATCTCCCTTTGTTTTTTCTTTTCTTTTCTTTTGTATAAATAATCCTCAAAATCAAATAATTTTTATGTGAAAACCCCATTAATAAAACATGCATTAATTTTTATTCTCTCATTTTAATAATATTATTGATATCAACCTTTCTATACAGAGATGTTTATGGGTTGGGTTGGACTAACTTTTAACGTCTTATTCTTGTCGTAGCCTTCTATGTGGTTTGGATTCCTTATATTCAAAATTTGGATAGTCTTGACATCCATGCATCTCTTGTAACATGTTCACGTTACTTACCTTTCTCACTCTTTAAGAGTGAAGGCTATCTCAACAACATGAGTTTTTCCAACATATTTTGAGTCCATTTTGGTGCACCAATAGTTTTGTTGATTGGTTAATTGGTCACATTTTATAAATGGGTTGGATTGATGTTAGGCTGGATCCATCTATTAGATCTAATAAATACCTTGTGTCATAATTGAGAAATCCTATGGCTCCATGTTTAGTATTCTCTTACATTTTACCTATGTCTACTATTTAGGCAGAATACTATCACCAATTCTTATTAAGAAACTGAAAGAAACGGAGGGGACTAAACAGGAACAAGAGGGATCCATCGAAGAAAATACTTCTCCTTCCCTTTCTTCGGAAGAAAAGGAGGATCTGGACAAAATCAATGAAACAGAAGAGATCCGAGTGAATGGAAAGGAAAAAACAAAGGATGAATTCCACTTTAAAAGGACACGCTATTAAAAGATAAAAAGATCGTCACTAAAGGATGCAACATGGTCACATTACCTATGCTCCTTGCTTCTTAATCCCTACAAACCAACACGAGTTCTTCCAACATATTTTTTCCTCGGGATGTGACATAGTCACATTACCAACGTTCCTCGCTTCTTAAGTCCTCACTAAAACATGTGACATTCGTCCTTCACTTCTTGAGAGTGAAAACTATCTCTACAAACCAACACAAATTCTTCTAGAATATCTTGGTCTCACTCAAATGCAGCTTAAGAAAATTTCTAAGAAATCTTACTCAAAGTAAAACACTGTTTTAGAGAATCTATTTTGAATATTCTGTTAGGAATCACAGACTCTCCACAATAGTATGATGTTATCCACTTTGAGTATAAGCTCTCGTAATTTTGTTTTGAACTTTTCTAAAAAGCTTGGAATTCTCTAAAAAGCCTCAGGTAAATGGAGATGTATTACATATTTATAAACTCAATTTCTTAAATTAGTCAAGCTGGGACTCTCCTAACCATCCTCGACATGTTTGGTATGTGTTCAAAGAAAGGTTCAAGAAGGCAATGGAGTGAGGCAAACTTGAATTCCATACTTAGGCTGTATGGTGAGAACAACAACAGGAGCATGGCGATAAGTGTCGGAAATAGTGAAGCTGAACTTGGAGAGTAACATAGCCAATATGATCTTAGCTTCCATCAACGCGAACCCCTGGCCGATGCAGGTCCTTGGTCCGCTGGAAAATGGAATGAACCGCCCGCCACTGAATGCTTTCGACTCAAACCTCTCTGGGTTGAACTCGTTTGCGTCTTTTCCCCACAGCTCCTCGCTGTGATGAATTGCAAGCACTGGTATCCATACTGATAGCCCTTTCGGGATCTCTAAATCTCTTATCTTTATGTCCTCGAACGCTATTCTCGGTAGCACCGTGGCCGGTGGGTAAAGCCTTAGGGACTCGTTTATCACCATGTTCAGCTGCAACAACAACACCAAAACAAATATAAGTATTAGGAACCACGACGCACTATAGTTGTATGATATTGTCCACTTTGAGTACAAGCTCTCATGACTAAAGACCTCGTACCAATGGAGACCATCCCAACAATCAACAATCCTCCCTTCGAACAAAGTACACACACTATTAGAGTCTCATCTGAGACCTATAGAGCCCTCAAACAGCCTCCTTTCAATTGAGGCTCGACACTTGACTACCCATTCGAGGTTCACAACTTCTCTGTTCGAGGATTTTATTGACATGGCTAAGTGTAACAACCCAGGTCCACCGCTAGCAGATATTGTCCTTTTTGGGCTTTCCCTTTCGGGCTTCCCCTTAAGGCTTTAAAACGCGTCTCCTAAGGGAAGGTTTCCACACCCTTATAAAGGGTGTTTTTGTTCTCCTCCCTAACCAATGTGGGACATCACAATCCACCCCCCTTCGTGGCCCAGCGTCCTCGCTGGCACTCGTTCCTTTCTCCAATCGATGTGAGACCTCTTCCAAATCCACCCCTTCGAGGCCTAGTGTCCTTACTGGCACACCGCCTCGTGTCTACCCCCTTTTGGGGAACATCGAGAAGGCTAGCACATCATTCGGTGTCTGGCTCTAATACCATTTGTAACGACCCAGGTCCACCGTTAGCAGATATTGTCTTCTTTGGGCTTTCCCTTTCGGACTTTCCCTCAAGGCTTTAAAACACGTCTGCTAGGGGAAGGTTTTCACGCCCTTATACAGGGTGTTTTTGTTCTCATCCCCAACCAATGTGGGACATCACACTAAGTTAAGAACATGACTCTGATATCATGTTAGGAACCACAATTCTCTACAGTGGTATTAAGTTCTCTTCCAACAATGTTCAACAAATCGTTAGTTGGCTTACCAAAGTGAGCTTAGGGAGAAGTTCGACCGAGGGAAGTCGGCCGTTGCAAACTTGGGCGACTTCAGCACGAGCCTTTTGTTGCCAAGAAGGGTTAGTAGCGAGCAACATGAAGGTCCAGCTGAGCAAAAGAGAAGTGGTATCATGGCCAGCAAAGAAGAAAGTTTTGCATTCATCCATTACGAGCTGCAAGTCTAAGCTGAATCCATCGTCTCTCTTTCTCTGCATCTCCTTCAATAGCATTCCCAACAAATCGCTTCCATATCCACTGCTTCTTCCTATCTCCACGCCCTCTTTTCTGCTTCCAATGATCTCCATTAACATCCTCTCCATCTCCATTTTTAGTGCCTTTATTTTTCTGTTGTATTTACTCGGAAAAAACCTGCACCAATGTAACCAACAAAAAGGTTGTGAGTCTCGAACATGTAGTCAAAAGTGTTCCATGTGTTGAACAAAGGGTGTACTGAGAGAGGAGTCGAGCCTCGATTAAGGAGAGACTGTTCGAGGGCTCCATAAACCTTAGAAATTCTATGGTGTACTTTGTTCGAAGGGAGCATTGTTGAGGATTATCGGGAGCGAGTGTCCCACGTTGGTTAATTTAGTGGAAGATCATGGGTTTATAAGTGAGGAATACTAACTCTATTGGACTGAGGTCTTTTGGGGAAGCCCAAAGCAAAACCACGAGAGCTTATGCTCAAAGTGGACAATATCATATCATTGTGGCTAATCACGTGGCTAATCATGAGTTTATAAGTAAGTAATACATCTCCATTGGTATGAAGCCTTTTGGAGAATCCAAAAATAAAACCACTCGAGTTTATGTTTAAAGTAGATAATATCATACCACTATGGAGAGTCGTAGTTCCTAACCCCCTACGAAATGAAATTTTTGGTTTAGAAAAACGCACCGACTACCGGGGATGCAGAGGTGGCGGCTGGCTTGTGCGCAGAGGTGTTGAAGCTGAGTGAGCATATCAAAGATTTGGATGCCTTTGTCGGAGCTTGTGTCGAACGCAGTCCGGGAAATGATGTCGGCGGTGAGGCGTTTCATGCAATCAGAAATTTCGAACACTGTCTGGCCCTCCTCCAATTGGGCCTCCAAGGATTGGATCATCTTGTTGGTGCATTCCACCATCAACCCCGCGTAGCTCTATTCATGTCATATTACAAAAAAACCATATATATATATATATTAAATGTGTTGGATGAAACGCTAATTCATGAGTTTATAATCAAGGAATACTATCTCTATTGGTACGAGACCTTTTTGAGCAAGCTCAAATCAAAGTCACGAGAGCTTATGCTTAATATCATATTATTGTGGAGAGTTGGGTTCATCTAATAAAATATTTCAGATTTGAATATGAACCTTGAGCCTTTCCCCTCTAAACGCAGGTGAAATCAGGTGACGTTGATGATGCCAAGCTTCTCCATTTGCCATCAACAATCCCTTCCCTATGAAGTGTTTGGTCCCTTGTCTTTGCATCCATGACCTCCCACACACATTGCTGCCCTTCCCCAATACTTCCTTCACCAACTCCATCTCCGTCAAACACAGCCTCGAATCCATCCCGTTCCAATATATAAACCTCTTTCCTGAATAAGTTTAAGTTTACGGGTTAATCGTTTATTCATAATTTACAAAAATATTTACTAAAACCAAGTTCTCTATTTATAATTATTTACGAAATCAAATAAAATTAACAATAAATAAATGTCAAATATGATACCTAAACTGTAATGAAAGATTTATAACAGATATTTGTCTCACAAGGACCTAAATATAGTATAGGTAATGAAAGGCTAAATATCCTCAATAATACTAATATTTTACTGTAACCATATTTCAAGGTCCAAAATACCTTCAACTCAACCGTCTAACCAATGAATCATGAACTCTTTTAAACAGGATAAAAGCGTTGGTCGTACCGTATTGCTTTGTCCATGTAGAGTAATAGGGTAACAAACGATCAACGATGTCATGACTGATGGAGCTCATGTCGTTAGCTGTGGATTTCTTCACAAGCTCTACGACATCGAGGATGTTTCCAGTGAAGGGTCGTGGGTCGGGGCCATAAACGCCTTGCTCGGCCATCCTCTTCCTGATTCTTCTAGGGGTAAGCCAGTAGAAAGAGAGAGTATCATATGCCATCTTTGCAAAAGATGAAACAAAGATGGCTAAAAGAGTTGCTAGAAAGATCATAATCGCCATGGCAGATGAGATGAAGCTTTTTTTAGAGAGAGAAAGAGAGGTGGATGGTTTGAATGGTTTGAATGGATGATGGAAGAAAGGGTATTTATAACGGCCAACTCAGTTACCTTTTAAAACATTTTCAGGCTGTTCTTCAGCACCATGCATGGAATTTGGTTTTTTCTATCTTTTTATTCTGGATTTTTGAGGAAAATAAATTATTAAATTATGATTTTCATGGTTTTTGGCTTAAAATATGGAAATTAAATGGTAAGGAATTAAATTGCAAAATGTTACAAAGACTTGCATGTGCACGATGCCATTCAAATGTAACACGTTGCAAAATAGTTTCATCGAAATAATGTCGATTCAACTAAATGAAACAATATTGTTTCGGTGAAATATATTTATAAATTTTAAATGTTAAATGCCGTTGTTTCAAGCATGTTTTATAAATTTTACACGATTTTTTTTCGTTATTGTCGTCTCCCACGTGCCATCTTTTTTATTTTCAGATTGTCTTACCATTATTCCCTCATAAGCTGCAATAGATACCTTCTCTAGTTTCGGGTCGTTAATACTAAAAGAGATTAGTTTACTATTGATAGTTGTTGAGACTAGTGTTATAAGCGCTAATAAATGTTAACAAATTAGATAATTAACCTTTATTAAGGTCGATAAATATCTAATTTGTAGTTGTGGTCGGTTGAGTTTTGAATCGAAGGCCAGATTTTCAAAAAAGAAAAAGCTATAAAAACCATTTTTGTAAAAAAGTTCAAACTTCTTTTTCATTTCCTTTTACACAAAGTGTAAAAGGAAATAGGGAGATTTGAATAATGCATAGAAATTTTAAATCAATAGAATTTTTCATTTCTGAAAATAAAAAAGATGGCTAAATTAATTTTTAAAAAAAATAATAAATTCTTAAGATAAATATTGGTAGGGTTTAGCTATTCCTTTCATCCAAAAGATCTACCAACATATAGATCCTAATTCCTAAATATGCCTTTTTATTATTTTTTATTTTTTAATGAGTCAACAACATTATAAAAAAGTGGTCTAAATATTGTACTACATTTGTCTCTAGATTTTTAGATCTTGATGGATGTCCATCAATATGTGTAGAAATGTTTTCATGCATGTCACCAAATTACCCCAAAAAAAAAAAATAAAAAAAAAAAACCACGTGAAGTTTGTTACGAACATGTTTTATGTTGTCAATTTAGATGGTTTTTTGTTGAGTTTTTAAATTTTTGTGTTTGTATCTAGTAGACGTTCTCTCTTTCGAAAAGGACGAAAAGCAAAACATGTGAAATAGCAAACCGACAGAGAGGGACCAATTAAGCGCACCGAATTCGTCATATGTTACAAATTAAGATGATTCGTAATAATGCATGTAACCCTAACCGAAAGCAATCTAAGATTTGCTCTTTGACTTGTGTTTCTCACCAAAAAGCATCTCTACCTATAAAGCAAATACCTCATAACAATGGACCTTTTTTGTCTCAAGAATCTAAAATATGAAGATCTTTGGCTATCTTTCAATAACGTCAATGCTCAACGTTGAAGTCATACTTGTAATTCAAATGGTCATGTATGGCGGAAAGAAATGGGAAATGGGAGCAAAACATTTGTTTAAATGTGTATTCTTTTGAGTGAAAAAGATGGAAGATTTGTCAACAAAGGAGAGGAAAAGAAAGGTTAAGATCTGGAGATTTTGTTCTGCAGACGCGTGGGAAAAAGCGAAGCTTCATGGATGTTCATAGCTTTATATAAACCAAAAGGGTTTTGTGAGGAAGGACCCATTTTTTGACTTCGATTCATTTTGGTACATATCTTATGAAACACTAAATGTTTCAATGCAACAATCTCTGTTAAACTTTTGAATGTACGAGAGACATGGCGAGTTTTGGTAAACGCTAATGAAAGATACAGATCACATGGGGCATAACTCACATAGAGTTATGGGAGGTTAACTTGGTCCACAGCTTCAAACCTTCATGAGTTGCATGATTTCAAGTTCACTTATTGATAGCCCAACAAACCATGGGGGACATAGAAGACAGAAAGGAAATGAAATTAGCCCCTCCATATTACAGTTGATATCTAGTGTCTAGAGGGTAGATGAAGTGGCTTGTTAGCAAGACAACTGAAATTGACAAAAGGGTCTTCCTTTAATCCATGTCCGTAAGGATTGTCCCCTCTGCAGCAGTGGGAGTGCACTCTACAAGCACAAGCTAAGCACAAGCTTACGGGTAGTTGAGGGTGTTGAGGATTATTAGAAGAAATAGTCTCATGCTGGCTAATTAAGGGGAAGATCGTGGGTTTATAAGTAAGAAACACTATCTCCATTAGTACGAGACATTTTAGGAAAACTAAAAATAAATTCATGAGTACTATTGTTCGAAATGAACAATATCATACCATTGTAGAAGTTCGTGATTCTCAACTTAGTATAGAGTCATGTCCTTAACTTAGCCATGTCAATAGAATCTTCAAGTGTCGAATAAAGAAATTGTGAGTCTCAAAGGTTAGTCAAAGTGACTTAAGTGTCATACAAAGGATGTGCTTTGTTTGAGAGCTCCAAGAGAAGGAGGCCTCAGAGAAGGCTCTCTAGTGTATTTTGTTAGAAGGAAGGATTGTTGAGGATTATTGGGAATAGTAGTCTCACTTCGGCTAATTAAGGGGTAAATCATGGGTTTGTAAGTAAGGAACATTATCTCCATTGGTATAGGTTTTTTGAAAAAACCAAAAGCAAAGTCATGAAAGCTTGTACTCAAAGTGGACAATATCATACTATTGTAGAGGTTCGTGATTCCTAACAGAAACTTCATAGTAACCCTATCATGTTATCACACAACTAATAGCAGCTTCATATGATGTTAAAGAGAGTCTAAGAATGTATTTGGAGCTTAAAAAAGAAGCATATTTTAGAGAATTGAAGATTAGGCATGAGGACCCTGGAAGAAGGGTTTGAGACACTCTTAGGGCGTCTCAACGCCAATGCTTCAACTTAGCCCATAGCCCAATCCATTTAGGCCCTTTAAATAAATTATTTAAGGGTGATATGGGGAACTATTAGATTGAAAAATAACGACAAGAATTGGACACAATACCTTGGAAGCTCCCCATTTCCAAACCAAAGCCACCCATCATTCATCAATTCTCCTTGGCCGATTCAAAACCTGGAAATTTCACCCATCAAAGAATATTTCAAAGTCAAAAAAAGGGAGTCAAGTCTTCTCTCAACTGCTAAAAAGAAAGAACAAAAACATATGAGAATCTGTAAAAATGGTAAACAGGTTCATCATTTTCCCTATAAAAATATATGAAATGCAGCAACCAACAGCAAAACAGTACCTCATTCAAGAGCTTCTCACAGAAAAACAGGCAGCAAAAAAGAATCTTCAATCATGGGAAGGAAACTGGATGCTCTACTGGGAAGGAATAGATATTTGAAGCCTTCCAAGTTCAAGGCCCTTGCTAATATGGCCATTTCTAGGACTGCCATCCTCAAGAATCAGCACCAAGCTCGCTGCTCTCTTGCCCAGCCTGACGTTCTTCAGCTCTTGAACCTTGCTTTCCAACCACGCTCTCAGCTTAGAGTAATTTGTTTCTCTATCTCTATCAGTTCAGCTTCTTTTCTGTCTTCTTATGAGTATAATTTGCATGCTAAGCTTGGATGCATGGGATCCCCTGGTGAAGTGAAGGAGGTGAAGTGAGGGAGGTAGTATCGAGTCTGATCTTTGAGGCTTCAAGGTGCAGAGAGTTTCCAGAACTTCAGGAGATTTGTCGGATTTCAAAGTTGAAATTTGGGATAGTTAATAGCTAAAGCTCACTGCTAGCAAATATTGTCCTCTTTGACCTTTCCCTTTCGACATGGGATCTCACAATCCACCCCCTTCAAAACCTAGCGTCCTCGCTGGCACACCGCTCGGTGCCTAGCTCTGATACCATTTGTAAAAGCCTGTAGTAGCCTAAGCCCACCGCTAAGGTGAGGTTGAAATTAACTGCAAGAACAGAATTAGTTGCCTGCACATATCACTTACTAACCACAACTTCATGTTACAGATGATCCAAAGTTTTCAAGAAGACAGCCCAGCGCAGAAACTAAGCTGAAAGTGCTGAAGGAAATTGCTTTTGAGAACGGCATCACTCTGCATTTAGAAAAAGAACCTACAGTAATCATCAAGGTAAGGAATGTTTCCACTTTTGAAGTATATTTTTAGTAAAATTCATCGGTTAACTGCAGGAAAAGCTAAACCAGAAGCTGGAAGCCAAGAAATCAGCAAACTTGGATAATCCTGAAGTCATAAACACAAGTGACGAATCAGTATCAGAATCAGTGAGAGCAAAGAAGTTTAAAGACGTAGCTAGTGCAGCTCAAGACGCCTTCCAAGCAACAAAAGCTGAAATCGAGTTTTCGAGGTCTCAATCACAGGATATCGATATAGATCATGAAGATGGCTCTTATTTTCACAAAAATGAAAAAGCCTCAAATATGGATAGTTCTCACAAATCCAAGCTTAATGCAGAAGAAGCTAGCATACCTTCCAGTAAGATTGACCATTCAGACGATTTTAGTTTTGAAAATACTCATCTTGTTGAACTTGAAAGCTGCAGTTCAGAATATAAATACATAGAAGATAATCAAGAAGAATCACCAGCTGAACCTGCCAAAGAAAATATGTCATCTGTTCCAAATTTGGATTCAGATATTAGCAATCTCAAGGAGAAATCATCAAATTCAAATTCAATCTTCCACAATGAACCAGGAAATGACAGGTTAATCAGTAAAGAAGAGTTTGCCAGTAAAAATGAAATTTCAGATGAGGATATCAGAGCTCATGCATTGAAGTAAATTTCAAGGGGATTTTGCTGAAATCCAGGCTGATCACATCTATATTGGAAGCAAACATGAGGTGAAACTCATGAACCCAGCATACAAACAATAGCTTCCAATTTTGCTAGACTAGACCTGTAAACTTCATTATTGTTTCAAGATTTCTTTTTGAGTATCTGTTGAATAGAGTGTAAGAGTGTAACCATAACAGCTCAAGCCCACCGCTAGCGCATATTGTCATTTTTGGGCTTTTTCTTCTAGATTTCCCCTCAAGGTTTTAAAACGTGTCTGGTAGGGAAAAGTTTCTACACTCTTGTAAAGAATGCTTCGTTCCCCTCTCCAACCGATATGGGATCTCATAATAACTAATGCTAGGAAAAGAAATAAATCAGACATTTTAGTGAACATCTCAACTAGCTGAGTAATATTCAAGTTAGTGAAACTCAAACCTTATACTGACAAAATCCATGTCGCCCAACATCAAGCTTCATCAACCCAGACTTGTTAAAACTACGACAAATATCTCATTACAGCTATGCATAAAACAACAGGTTTGCACATTCACTATGAACAAACTTTTCGATGGGAAATGAGAACTGCAGATGGCTTACATAACCAACAAAATATACAATAAAAGAGTCATTCATAGATTATAATATTACTTCATAACATACGAGAAAGGACATCAGAACAGCCGTAGGATTCAAGAATAGTCACAATCTAAGAGCACTATCAAAAAATTTCCGAAACTTTTTACATTTGAGATTAGGCCAGGCTGCCTCCACCCTGCTGCCACAAATTGATGATGTCAGTTGCCTGATTTAGAAGGATAATCATCTGCTTTTGAGAAATCCAGGGCTTGCTCTCAAGTAAAACTTTGAGCTCTTCCCATGCATCTTTCCTAGGCCAGAAGTAGTATGGACTAAGAGGAATAGTTCCATGACCAGGAATCATCTGATCAAGTCCAATGCCAATGTTCTTCTCCATCCATATGAACTTCAGAACAAGCCGTGGCTTTTCCATCGGTTTCACAACCACTCCAAGTTTCTACAACATCGGAAAAACAATGAATGTTTAATTTGTAAGACAAGGCCTTCCTGATAAATCTATTTTTCTCGACATAAAAATGTACTCGAATTCAACACTAAAACATCAAGATCCAACCAAAAACTAATGCTCAAGACAACCATAAAAATGAGCGTTCACAAAAGTAACTGTCCCAATTTCCATCACCAGAATCCAGCCCAACATCTAACCAAAACCTAGAAGAACGACCAACAAGAGGTATTAATTCATTAGTTATACAATTTTAAGGTTCGACTTAATGAAATCAACATTTAAAGGTTAACTTTACCTCAAACATCGTACTATAGAGTGAGAACTGGTCTTCTTCCATATGTTCATTTCATATTTCTTTATCTTTTAGGTATTCATGGAAATCGACATCAACATTCTCATTAGAAATTATCTTCAATGTTAATCACAAAAGTAAAATTCGAAAACTTGTTGCATAGATAATAATGGTACTCGATGACCAATTATAATGAACAATTCATGGAAATCGACATCAACATTCTCATTAGAAATTATCTTCAATGTTAATCACAAAAGTAAAATTCGAAAACTTGTTGCATAGATAATAATGGTACTCGATGACCAATTATAATGAACAATTCATGGAAATCGACATCAACATTCTCATTAGAAATTATCTTCAATGTTAATCACAAAAGTAAAATTCGAAAACTTGTTGCATAGATAATAATGGTACTCGATGACCAATTATAATGAACAATTCATGGAAATCGACATCAACATTCTCATTAGAAATTATCTTCAATGTTAATCACAAAAGTAAAATTCGAAAACTTGTTGCATAGATAATAATGGTACTCGATGACCAATTATAATGAACAATTCAGTAAAATTCGAAAACTTGTTGCATAGATAATAATGGTACTCGATGACCAATTATAATGAACAATTCATTAAAATTCGAAAACTTGTTGCATAGATAATAATGGTACTCGATGACCAATTATAATGAACAATTCATAGCCACGTAGTAAGCAATTTGGTCTGAAAATTAACGGAACAAGCATATGAGAGAGAGAGAGAGAGAGAGACCTCCTTATCAGGCGAGGACTCTGAAAGGGAATCATCAGCAACAGGCGATTCTGAATCAGCTTGAACAGCGTCAGCGGCCGCAGCAGAAGCAGAGACTTGGAGAGTTCTGAAGCTTTGGCGCCTCAACTTCAATCCAGAAACAGAATAGACGTCGGCAATGCAGGAAGAAATCGAAGATGAGGGAGAGGAGAGAGCGGTGGTTCTTTGCTTCAAAGCAAAAGGGAGTTGATAGGGTTTAGAAGTGGCGTTGTGGGAAGAGAAGGTGGAGGTATTGAGACAGAAATTGAAGTTGGGCGGGAGATGAACAGCCATGGATAACATCATAGCCACAGTCTTTCGAGATAGAGAGAATTCAAGAGGAAGACGAAGCCGCACTATGCTCTTCTACTGAAATAAGCTTGAAGTTGAAGATAAGACGGGTCGGGTCGGGTCGGGTCGGACAAACAATTTCAAAACAAATTCAGTTAAGGCCCAAGCCCATACCAAAGGATTAGTTGGACCGAAATTCACCTTTGAAAAAAACCCTGGAATCCCATGATCTTCCATAATAATAATAAATATATAATATAACAAAATATTTAAAATATAAAAAAAAAAATCATATTTTTAATTGAATTATGAACTAATTGTGAGAATTGTAATATTATAGATTCAAATTCTAATTTGTTTTAATTTTGAATCAAATCAAATCCATAGAGCACATTCCACAAAGTGTTGGAAATGATGAAAATTATGAAGTTCTTGTGTGCGGGGCTACCCTTTGCTTCGGGTACTTCGGGACAACACCTTGGTGTGCGGGGCTACCTTTGCTTGGCGGGTACTTCGGGATAACACCTGCTGCTGACACCTTTCAAAGCACTTTTGAGTGTTACGTTCCGTAAACTATAAAGATGGAGGCTGTTATGACAACAAAATAGCTTCTCTTTGTAAATGCCATAATTACCAAAATAATGAGTCTTCAAAAGTGAAAAAAGGTCCACAAACGGAAGCCATGATTAAAATAAGGAAATACGATATTATCATTATATAGTTTGATGATCATAATAACATAGGTAGACTCTCCAGGACACGACAGCCTACAATCCCCACCTGGACATTATTATTCGCAAAAGGAAACAACACAAAAAGACATTAATGAAAGAACAGAACAGAACAGAACAGAACGACCCCCCCGAAGATTCTATAGTAATTAAAAGTTAAAACGCAGCAAAAGTTGAAAGTAAGTAACTACTACTACTTCCCAACTTCCTCGTCCGCCTCGTCCTCTCTCCAACAGCATTTCATGAGGATTGACCTTGGAGATGACGCGTAATCTCCTCTACTCTTAAAGCTCTGATAGATGACGGATCCATTTTCCTCGAGCATTTCACAGCTCTTCTCTCCACCTTCGTACCCCTTCAGATCCAGGCACAGTAAATCTTTCAGATTCTCACCCACGACATCTGAGTGGAGGGCAACAGAGAAATCAGATGGCTGGAAGCATGCCAGCACCCTCCCAATCAGCTTACACAGGTCCACGTCGTCCAATTCATAACCAGCTGCTTCAAAGCTTGCATAGCTAAACCCTTCTTCTGGAGTGACATGGATGGTAGACTCTGCATCTCCTTCAATGGCATTCATGGAATACCCACATGGGTCGAACTCGAAGTCGCATATTTCAGATTTCGGAAGGATCTTCCTGATACCGGAGTTTTCAGTCATTGTAGCAGCAGAACTTGTGTCTGTTTTGAAGAAGACAGACGCCTTCTCCTTGTCTAAGCCAGTCATGCACATCTCCAGAGTATAGACGGGATTGTTGCTTCGGGTACCCATTTTGGCACAGGCAGAGTAAACGTGCCATTTCCTTGTCTCATCAGGACTTCCCATCACATATGCAGAGCCACGGAGGCCAAGCTTGGTAAAATAGCCATCAAGCACACCAACTTCCTCAGAGAAGCTGCGATGGGGAAAAGACTGGGCACCAGGAAAGATAAAGCTCCCACGAGTGTACCTCACAGATTTCACATTAAGGGATAGGGAATCAGCCAACTTTATCAGAGCTGGAATAGACAGAAGCAGCTTAGTAGTGCCGCAAGTTTTGATGATGAACTTGTATGGGTATACAAAGAGGCTCGACTCCGAAAGGACATATGAATCAAGATAGTCATTGGACAAAGAGTCAACAATGGTACACTCAGCTAATGTCAGAATTTCATCTAGTTGTGCCTTGGACAAAGCACGAAGGCCCATGCCCATTGGGTCAGCAAAAATGCCAGGCTCAAAGAATGATACTTCAAGCCTCTTTTCATAGCCTTCAAATCCGATTGCAGAGGTTGGAAACGTCATCTTTTCTTAAAAGGAAGGTAATGATGTTGAGAGATTGAACGAGAGAACGAGGAAAGTAGAGTACTAAAGAAAAAAGACAGCAAAAATAACAGAAAACTAAGGATCTCGGGGCGCAGGTCAAACGGAATTCAGCGAAACTCAGGATGGCTTACGAACGCACTGCAGAAGAAGAAGAAAAAAAGATCAGTTAGCAGACACCCCATTGATGATAGACTAAAATTAAAAAAAAAAAAAAAACACGGCAGTGTAGAAAGTAGGAACGTACGTTGGAGTAGGCAGCAGATCTGAACTTCTTGATTCCACCGTGTGGTCTAACGTCTTCAATGCTGTATCCGAGGGGAGCTTCGTAGAACAGGGATTTATTACTACTACTACTACTACTACTAGACTTCTTACCACCTTTTGACTCCATTAAATCATTCGCTGCCAAAAGATCACACACAAAAATGAAATCAGAGAACTCCCAATCTTAATAAAGAGAAGATGACTGTACAAAAGAACACTCAACACAGTTCATAGACAGAACACTGATTCACTAACAGAGCATAACGAAATAAGTTGGATTCGTTTTTTTTTTTTAAAAAAAANAAAAGGCAATCTAAATGAAGAACACAAAAGTACCAAAAGCAAACGAAGGAGAAAATCAAAGAATAATTGTTAATGCAAACATAGTTTTCAAGGAAATAGTTAAATAAATAAAAACAATGGAGTACACATCTACAATCATGGAAAATACTGCTTTATGAAAAGCAGAAGTAAACAAATTGAAAAGCAAAATGTTCAACAAACCCCGGGCAAGAAAAATTGAGTGAAATTCCTTTCTATTATTGATCCATTATTAAAAGCAAAACTGGAGCCCTTTCTTCCTTTATTCCGAAAAAAGTATCCATTTTTTAACCGTAGCCCTCGTTATCTTCGCCATGCAGTCGCCACCAAAGACGACTACCAAAAAGTTGCAGAAAGAGAAAAAGAATACCCTAGAAACCAGATAATTTACGCCAAATAAAAAAGAGCTTTTCTTCCAACATTTTCTAAAATCGATTGAGCAATCGGATAAACATCAACATTACAACACGAAGAAACCTTCAAACCACGGAAAACGAATCCAAATCGAAATCAAGAACAAGTAAAAGGGCTTTACATAAACAAACACAAATTACAAGCAAAGATTTGATTATATTCCCATAAATCAAAGACTGAAGTCGGAATCAATCATTATAAACATCATCAATAGAAAAAAAAAAAAAAAAAAAAT